TCCATAAAAAAACTGATGGAAATGCAGCATTCAGAGCTTGCCTCTGTTCTGGGACTCATATTAAAAGTAGACGGAAATGGAATTGCTACTAAAGACAATAAGGTTTGTGAAATTTTCTGTTTTAATTTTAATAATGTTAAATTTATTGCTTTAATGTGGAAGAAGAAACTGATTCCTTTGTAAACCATTGAAATGTATGGCTTGGAGCTATTTTTTTTTCACACAAGAAACGTAAAATTGATTATTTGATTTGAAAGTAATTCTCAAAGTATTAATTGTGTAATCCAATAAGAAATTTTAAGCCTTTCATTTTGTGGTAATCATGCTTTGGGTGTATATCCTGTATAGTAGCCAACAAAGACCAGAAATGTATTTTAAATAACGAGTTTGTCACTTCTTCCTGATAATTACAATTATATATTCCTCTAATATACAAGGTCATTGTGAGCATTGTGGAATATGACACTGAAGAGATGAGTTTGTCTTCAACTTGGGAAAATTGCCTTCACATTCATTGAGCAGTCATATTTGATTCAATGTGACTTCAATATCTCATGTAAAAGCCAAATTTAATGTTCTAAGGAGATCATTTTAAATTTCTACGTCAGCTACTGGGACTGAATGCATTGGTTGAAAACAATTTTATCATCACCTGGAAAATATTTTACTGGAATTAAGAAGTAAAATAATTTTGTTAAAAAAAGTGTGCATGACACTGTAATTCTTGAAGAATATTCAGAAGTTTATTTAAAGTATTGATTTCCCATTGTATGTAGCATAGGAAGCTTAAGTCAAATTTATTTAAATTTCAAGAGACAGAGAATCCTCACCTGACCTCTGATTTACAGAAGAACAAAATCAGAAAGAATAATAAACAAAGATATGCATTTAGCAAAGTGAAATGAGTCACCAACAGTATAAAATAATTTGATATAAAGTAAATAGAGCAGAAATAATAAATGAAGACATTAAAGATAAAAGTTAAAATATAATGATTCATTTTGTTATTATTTTGCATTAATTTTTTAAAACCAATAACTCCCAGCAAATAAAATGTATGACTTTATCAATGTAATATTTTATCCTTTGGAATGCATGGATTTATGAAAATAGAGGGGAAACTGTACTCATAGTGTTGTATTTGGTTAGTTAAATTTTGAGTAAAAATTATGTTATCATATTATTTTTTTTAGGCTTCTACTCCTGGTTTACTGTTAGGTAGCAGATTAGTGGGGGTTGCATATGGGTAGCAATGTGTGTGAAGAATATAAAAAAATAAAATAGGAAACTTATGTAGCTCTTTTTGCTTTAGTTTTAAATTTTTGTTTTAATTTCTATTTTTAAACAGCAGTCAGCTATGAGAAATCATACCACTGTGACAACATTTATTCTTCTTGGACTGACGGATGATCCAAAATTACAGGTGGTCATTTTTCTTCTTCTTCTTTTCACCTATATGTTGAGTGTCACTGGAAACTTAGCGATCATCACCGTCACTTTACTGGATTCACATCTCAAGACACCCATGTACTTTTTTCTCCGAAATTTCTCATTTTTAGAAATATCCTTTACTACTGTCTGCATTCCCAATTTTCTTGTTAGCACGGCTACAGGGAATAAGACCATTTCTTACAATAGTTGTGCAGCACAGCTGTTTTTTACTATTCTTTTAGGGGCGACAGAATTTTTCCTCCTGGCTGCTATGTCCTATGACCGCTATGTGGCCATCTGCAAACCCCTGCATTACATGACCATCATGAGCAGCAGGGTCTGCAACCTGCTGATCTTTGCTTCATGGTTGGCTGGCTTCCTAATAATTTTTCCACCTCTTGTTATGGGTCTCCAGCTTGATTTCTGTGCAGCCAACACTGTAGATCATTTCTTCTGTGATGCTTTTCCTCTATTACAGCTCTCTTGCACAGACACATATGTGATAGAATTAATGACACTTCTCTCTGCAATTTTGACACTTCTGGTTACTCTGGTGTTAGTGGTTCTCTCCTACACAAACATCATCAGGACTATTTTGAAAATACCTTCTGCTCAACAGAGAAAGAAGGCCTTTTCTACTTGTTCCTCTCACATGGTGGTTGTCTCCATTTCTTATGGCAGCTGCATCTTCATGTATGTGAAACCTTCTGCAAAGGAAAGGGTGCCTTTAAATAAAGGGATAGCTCTACTCAGTACTTCGGTTGCCCCTATGTTAAATCCTTTCATTTATACACTGAGAAACAAACAAGTAAAAGATGCTTTTAAGCACATGGCCAAAAGATTGATGTTTTCTTAATGAAGAAAATAATTTTAATAAGAATACTAAAGTTATGAGTAAAACAACAGGAATGGGGCAGTGTGTGACAATCAATGTCTGTATTCAAAATAATATTACTTATCTTTCTTGAATTATAATTTTCACTCTGGTCTGCCTGATCTCCAAAGCCAAACCTTGACACCTATAATTCCCTCATTCCAAGTGTACATAAATGCTCTTGTTTTTGGTCAAAGTCACTTCCTTATTTCTTTGGTGCCTTCAATCAATTTCTATTCAAAATATTTTCAAAGGAATTCAGAAGTTCAGTTGGAAGATATTTTATGTAGAGTTTAATGTCTTACCTAGATTTTATCACTTCTTCAGCTCATTAATGTTGGAGTCAAGATTTGAAATTTGGTATGTTACTCAATGTTTAATAGTATATGGTAATAAATCAATTTATTGGTATTTGTTGAAATCATGTATAGCTATAGTTTCAAAGACTCTGTCAGGCTTAGAAATATAATATGTGTTCAGAAACATATTAAAGGAACATGAAATAAATTAAGTCTTTATTCTCATTGCAGTAATCAGATAAAAATTATAATTCTCATTTATTGAGTATTTACAATGTACCAGGGAGCCCTGGTGGCACAGTTGTTAAAATGCTGATCTGCTAACTGAAAGGTCAGCAGTTCAAACCCACCAGCCACCGTGTAAGAGAAAGATGTGGCAGTCTCCTTCTGTAAAGATTTATAGCCTTGGAAACCATATGAGGCGGTTCTCCTTTCTTGTATAAGGTTGTTGTGAATTGGTACCAACCTGACAACAATGGGTTTGGTTTGGGTTTTGCATTGTGTTGTTGTTGTTGTTGTTATGTGCCATCGAGTCAGCCCCGACTCATAGCGACCCCTCCTTGGGTTTCCAAGGCAGTATCACTACGGAAGTAGATTGCCCCATCTTCCTTCCGAGCAGTGGCTGGTGGGTTTGAACCGCCAGCCTTCGGGTTAGCAATCAAGTGCCTTAGGCACTATGCTACCAGAGCTCCCCTGCATTGTGCTAGGCTCTGTAAAATCTGTTAGTTCCATTACAAACTTCTATGAGACAGGTGTTGTGCTTATTTATGCATTAAATATATAAGGCATAAAGAATTTAAATAACTTGCTGATGACTAAAATCTTATTAATGACAAAAGTAGTCTCTAAATTTTCATGCATCTCTTATGATGTATTGGCAAATTAAGGTGAATAATTTCAGTCTGCATCACATACTTCTATGTCATTTGGTATGGAGAAAGACTAGTAGGGCAATTCTTATTGTGAAGAATGGCATAGATAATATTATGGGATTGAAGGTTGTTATTGTTAGGTGTCAGGCTGAATTGTTTCTGACTTGTAGATCTCTTATAGAGTTCAACTTCTGAAAGGTATCAGGAACTTAAGTTTCTGTGCACATTTTCTACTTCATAGGTAATAACCATAGTTCAGAAAAGTAGACTCTGAATATAGTGCATCTGGCGTATACTAGAATTTCTTGCTGTTTTATTTTTCTGATTTTCTGATGATCACTTATCTTAGTCTCCAGTTGTTGCCAAATGCAATTTTAATTAATATTTTATTTTCCTAAATTTTCTTTTGCTTATTTACTAAATTTATTCTTTTAAATATGAACACAAAGCCTAATGATCTTTATTAATTCACTATGTAGGTAAGTCCATGGACCCTTGCATAAAGGTCAAAGACTATGATTTCTCCTATCAAAAGTAATTATGGATAGTGTGAAACTCAGAAATATATTTTACTAAATTTAACTTAAAAAATGCATATGCTTTTTTTTTTCTTTTTCAATTTCTATGCTGTACAAATCTGAATGATGGAAAATGCAAAAATAAATAAACCTTAGGTCTAAACAGTGATAGGGAATGGTTAATGGAAGTTACTTTCTACTTAATTTGCTATTAATTAGTAGTTTGTGAATAGATGTGAACTTGTGTGAATACCAGATGTGAGAATGATTACCTAAACCTGTGATTCTTAAATTATGGTAGAGATTTTGTTTTTTATGAAATCCCCTTTCTGCTCTTCTATCTCCCAGCCCTGATATTCCTTCCTTTCTGAAATTGAAAAGCAACAAAATAACAGGTTGTGTTCCATTGACATATATTCAATGAGTGTTAAGAAAAATTAGCCTAAAGGCTGTTAATGTTCTCTTAACCAGGTTTCTAACCTTTGATCTCTAGCTGATCCTTCACACTGCTGTTAGAAAACCTTCTAGAATATACCTCTGATCACGTTGTTCTCCTGCTAAGAAATTTTTTACAAATTTCTATTTTTTCACAAAGTAATGTACGAAGTCCCCAAGTATTTTCTTAATCTTACCTTCCTAGTTTCATTTATTATCTCTTCCAACTTGGCGTCTCACCACAGTGAACCAGTTGGGGTATTGCAAATATTGTGCTCTCACCATATATAGAATGTACCTCTTGCCCAAATCTTCTCAGCTGCTTTGTGAAACTTCAATTTTCAGTTATTGTGAGAAGTTATCATGCCCTGGTCAACGGGACTAGTTACTCAACTTTCAATAATATTGATAGTCAACTTTATAAGGAGCCTGCCACATCACATATAATTAATTGTTTATAACTATTTCCTATACTGAATTATAAATTCTTCAAGAGCAGGGCATATGTCTTAGAGATATTTACTTTCTCATCAGCTGTTGTTGTTGTTGTTGTTATGTGCCATAGAGTTGGTACTGACTCATAGAGACTCATCCTTGGGTTTCCAAGGCTGTATCTCTATGGAAGTAGATTGCCCAACCTTCCTTCCAAGGAGTGGCTGGTGGGTTTGAGCTGCCAGCCTTCTGGTTATCAGTCA